TAGTTACTGGTACATCTGTACATAATATTAATTATATAATGTACAATGCCGTATTAACTTCACAATAACAATAACCAATACAACAGAAATTAATCTTTACTTCCATTATATAGAACTAATACAGATTTATTGTCAATGTGTGCATCCATGTGTGCATAATGACAATGAAATCAATACCATACACAGAAGGCATGCAATCTGGCTATCTAACACATCTATATAGCTACAGGTCATGTACATCTTACCTGCCAAGTGACCCGATTTCGTCGGGTTTCACCCAGGATTTTAGCCCTTCATCCGCTTTTATAACTTTACACGCCAGGTTACGATTTTGACCCAGACTTCGTCAATTTCACCCGTTTTCGCCCGGAATCTTTTTGTATATTAGAAGTTACTCAAGTCACTCGGAATTCTCTTGACTTTTCCATCCTTTGTCAAAAGAAAGACGATCTATTTCCTGTTTACGTTTCTCACCGACAGGTAAGTTGCCAGTTGTTCATATACATACTAGAACTGTTTTTACAAATGTTATAAAGACAGTTGTTACTGAACTTATCTACAGGTAATTAGTGAGGTGTTTTAATGAATAGTTCAGTTGTTTTTACAATTGTATTTACGAAGTTTAGATCGTATTTTGAGTCTTCTTGAAGGAAGAAGTCCTTATTGCGACTTGCAGGTTCTACTATACGAAATGCTAAAAGAAAAGATAATTGTGCAAATATCAAATATCGTAAGAAAATGAGTTATAGTGGATAAAGTCTGGCGGTCGTGGACCAAACGCTGCATTCTGCACTCTTTGTAAATCACATATTTCAGTCTGGAGCTACAAACGACGTTTCTAAGACATTCAAAAACATGCACAGGCGTTTAATGATTTGTTCCTGTCAATTATTAAGAATTCAAACCCCACTCGTATAAAACTTTTATTTTATATGAGTTGGGTGCGACTTCTTATTGTCAGGACAATTTTTATTGACAGAAACAAAATGGTGTTTTATATGATTCTCCAATGTGACATCTTATTGTCAGGACCATTTTAATTGACATTAAAAAATCCCTGTGAAAACTCAGTATCATATATATTTACAAGAATTAATTTAAAAGTTGTGTTGTTGACAAATCTGTTTATTTTTCAGCTTTGAATTTGGTATTGTGGATGAGGATCAGCTAGATCTGCTGGAAGAATAGTTCAATGAATGTAGAATGTACCTTTTACATCATTAAAATATTAAAGTTCTAATTTAATTTCTACCTTTTTTTTTATATTTATTGCGAAAAAAAGACGTCGCACGCTATGTCACTGTTTTTAATTTTCAAAAGAGGGTCATCTCCCTTTTTCAGTATATCCGGGGTTGGCAGGTATGGTACATCATAATTGCAGTCTTAATCAAATACATTGAACATATGCTTTTCATTAAAGTCAGATCTCGGAATGTTTCAAGGCTATATGCAGCTGTTACAGAAAATGTGTAATTGCCCTAATTAACAATAGTTGAAAGGTATGAAAATTTCCTCCCTCTTATAATATGTACAGCAAAACGATGAAAGGTAAATATTTTCACACCAATGTAGGTGAAGCAAGTTCATGTACTAGAATAAACATGTCCGTCACACAGTTTCCCTTTCATGTCTGTCCTAGCGTGACCCCAACACTAGCAGATACACACAAAATACTCCACATATTGGCAGTCACTACAAACAGAGATTACCAATCTGCGACAGAAGTCACTACAAACAGCGAGTACCAACAGATCTGGGACGATCATGTAATGATATAAACAACACTGCACCTGTTGACCTGCAGGCTACAAACAACAGACTTGTTAATGTGTATGGATTTCTGTGGATTAAAGGACCATCCACGCTTGATTCTGAGACATGTCAACCATGGCACTGAAATCATGTAGATTGAAAAACGGTGCAACTCTACTCCATATATGGCATCTATGTTGACAGTCCACTGTCCAGGCCATGTGGAGATATCTTTGACCTAGATAAATTGCTTATTCACCTGAGTTACCATAAAAACATTTATCATGTATAATGTGAGTCAAAATAAATATGATACTGTGTATAGTAAACATAGGCACCAAGGTTAATCTGGTTATTTATAAACATGTACAAGTTAAAATATTGGACCAGATCCAAAGAAACAAAAACTAACCTGCCTATATATATATATATATACAGCACACACCTGTTTGACAACTATACTGTTAATGTAGATATCATATCAACATCAGTTGGACTACAAGTACAAATTAATTAAATTGATTCAAAGATTTTAAATAATAATACTGAATAGCTTAGCTTTCCACTTATAATTTAATAATATAACAATGTTGCATACATTATGTACACTATTAATCATATGGTAATACAAGACACTTGTCTGTTAACAATTTCAATATCACTAGCAAATACTGCTAGCGACAGTGTTGATGTTCACCAATTGCTACAACCATTTATTTAAGCCTATATATAGCTATGACTCAAGCAAGACAAGGCGGGGGCAGACATACTAAACATGTAAGACTGAATCGACTGCAAATTGAAACATTGTCTTCATATTCAAACTGAACTTTTCAGACAGCGAGACCTGGACTAGCTATACATATATAACATATACACACTTGATTTCTTTTCCCACACCTACACTATATAAAAGCATAGCTTAGACAATGTGTATAAGCTTAGACAATGTGTATAAACTTAGACGATGTGTATACAGATTACAAGAGACAAAACTGGTCAATATCACGTTGGGTAGTACAGTACGAATGACCACATCTACATTATATATCCATCCCACTCAATGTCATGGATTGTGGTTTGTGTCATCCCTGGTGCCTATGAGGCAACTTGACCTAAAGATTAAGATTATCAAGTGTGTGTCAACGTTTGTCATTGATACTTTTTTTTATTTCACCAACAACAAGCTATATGTGTAACTGATGTAATATTTACTGGTTGCTGCAGCCAGTGGTCCCTTTTTGCCCATTTAATGTGCACATCAATGTATGTGTGTGCACACATTTCGTACATATGCATGCACATAGGTACACTCACTCATCTAAGTCTATTCACACACTGTTTACATCACAATACCTGGAAGAATGTCCCATTTAAATTTGCAAGTTTGGGACAAAAAGATTGAACATGCATACACAGGTGTCTACTGCCTGATAGTTCTGTTGTGCAGTTGCAATGTAAAATCAAACCAAACCGATCTGAATAATATTTGACTTGCTGATTTGTGCTGTGCAGCACAGTCCTTGTTTATAAATGTTAGGTTGTGATAATGGACAAATCTGCTTATTGGATATGTTTTTTAATTTGCTGGTTAATATCATCATTTCTTGAAAACACTTCACACGTGTACATTTTAATTTGTTTAATTGGTCTTTCTCGTTATTAAATTTCACTATTTGTAAAGTTGAAGCCATCGACTAATCAATACAAAGTCTGTAACGCCCTCCTATGTATACTTTAGAGGGTTGTACAGACTTAATTGAATAGTGTAAATATTGCAAGACAATTTAATTAACAAGTTCAGTTGTACATACATTACTTTTATAATGAAATTTTGACAAAGCAAATGTGCCCATTATATTGAAACATTACCATAATATACAGAAGTAACCATTTGCGGAAACAACACATTTTCCTACATGATAATTTGATTAAAAGCAGCGGTTGTTTAAATTAATATGCTAATTTTTTCAAGCACATGCATGTATTCTAGACAGTGGCAAGTTGTTTGGAGAAGGAAAATGAGAACAAAACAAAATTTAGAAAGCTAACTTTTTGAAACGAAACAAAAATTTTGAAACGAAACAAACAGCAAAGATTAACATGTACATGTAAGAGGGGTAAAATCCTAAAGGTAGATTCTATGAAGGTACAGCCATGCCTATCTTATTAAAGTATCTAAGTGATATAAAACAGATTTGGGTCAAGTTTTGATTCTCAGGGCTACTTTCTTTTATGATCAAACCAAAGTGTTGTTCATTAAGGAAATACAGGGACAGGACCTTGTGGTCTCAGACTTCAGGAGCTTTCTGGTCAGCTTTGAAAAAGATTTTCAAGATCTGCATCAACAAACAAGCTCCAGGTTGTCAGAATTCTAAAAGATCTTACAATGACCGCCTTTGCTGAAATATCACTAAAATTCAGTTTTCAAAAGGCACATGTATTCTAATGTTACTAGAGGGTGACATTAATTCCAATATAATATCTGATAACCGCATATCCTTTAATTTATTAGACAATAAAAAAAATCAAGTTTACACAGACATGAATTCACTCAATAGTAAATTTTCCATTTCCATATACGTGTATGTGTTATCTTAAGTTGACAATGCGCACAAACAACAGATACAATGTTGTACACTGCTTCTGAAATCAAGGACAACACCGACCTTAAACGTTCTATCGACTAATCGACGAGCCAGATGCAGTGAGTGACACGCTGAAACAACCGTTCGGTTTAGTGGGCGTGTTCTTTTTGAACACGGCTTTTTGACGCCGTGACGATTTTGATTGTAAAGACTTTATTTTGTCTGTACAGAGTTTCAGTATGCTTGTCATCAGAATACGTCAGTAGTAAAAAGTAAATCAAATGGGCAAAATTGTTGTTCCACATAAACAAGCATTTAATGAATGACTAGTAAATGGATGTCAGGACTGTAAAATTATGCAGACAACCAGGTTGACACAATCAATCTTTCCATTGACCAGCTTAATTTCATATATGGCCACCATTATTTTCAAACACTGGTTTTATGAATCCAGAGATTTAGCTCTTTCTACAAATAAGGCTGTACATTTTAACAGTTACAGGACGTTATGACATGTAGGTATATATGCTATAAATGTTTTTAAATGTGTTAATTAAGAGATAGATGTTGACCGAGTAATTCAGATTGTTATATATATGTATGTCTGTCTATAAGAAAATAACAGAAATATGATTATAATTGAATGGTAAGTTGACTTACCCATCTCTTCCTTTACTGATTATCTTCACCTCAAAGTAGTAGATACCACAGGAGGCGGGGATGGGGTGGATGGCCCGTACACTGGCAGCATCTTTGTGCGTCTTTCCAATACCTGCACAAATCATGCATTTACATGTAAGTTATAGTCTCTGATTCATAATTCAATAGACTGTAAAACTTCTAGTGACTCATTTTTACTAAAAAAATAAAAGAAACTTTTTTAAAAGAGTGATTTAGGCTTCCCAAAGATATATATATATACTACTGTTCTTGATGTTATTTTAGTTCATATAGAAGCATAACACAAATTGATAGACAGACAAGTCAACGATCAAAAAGAAGTACAAAAAAATCTATACAATTACTTGAAACTCTTTTAATATTTAAAGAGAATTCTGAAAAAATGTGTGTGTTTGAAATTCATATACATAACAGGTCATATTTACTTATTTAAGCAATATTTTGAAATGTATTACCAGTGTACACGTGATATATACTTAATTCTTATGCATTATAGTTCTATCAAATAGTTATGATACAACATTCAAATTTAAAGAAAGTCAGGTTTCTATTAATTACATTGTTCATAGAATTCCTATAGCTATACATTCAATCATTATGCCCAACACTAATCTAAAGCAGAACAAATGCATATTTTCCTATGTAATGATCTTCTAGTTCCATGTCTATCAATTACCATTATCCAAGAAAATTTTGAAAATTAATTCTAAGAAGTAAAATTTCAGAAAAATAAACATGATAATTGATTTCACTTAACACAACCATGGCCATATGGAACACAAGATTTACAGTTTTTAAGTGGATATAACTACATAAAATTATTCACATAACTTTACATTCTGAATCACCAATATTGCAATTTAGTAGTGTTTCCTGTAGTGATTCATTGGTTATTCTTACTCATAAAGTCGTATTCAAACAATAAAATCGAAAGTGAGTTCAGAAATTGACACAGCCACAGGCACTGGAGAGTGACCGCCAGTGAATTTGTTTAATTTATTGTGTATCGGATCAGCTGATTCGTTCGCGTACTGGTCTCGAAGTATGTCACGTCAAATGTTCTAAAAATAAACCCAAAACAAAGGCGCAACTTCTCCTTCACTTGGAAAAAATACCACGTAGATACAGAAAAGGAAAAAATAGGAAACTTTATAGTAAATACAGACAACATATTACCATTTCATTGTATATCTGACAATAAAACTGAGATTATTTCCAGCAGATCTGAGGTGATTCTATGATAAATACTGAGGCTAATACACAAGAACTTTCGCAATGTTTTGAGTAAACATCTACCTTTGTAATGGACTCGGAGATTGTTTTGTGACAACCCTATGTAGTTATATCTATCCTTCTGACTCCACGATCTAGGGAGAGGGTATTCGTCTTCGTTTACCGCCGGATAAAGTAATTTTAGACGATCCGTGGAGTCTTGGGATCCTAGATTTAGCGACTCAGTCGAGCTAGAGCCACAAGTCTCTGCCATTTTCCCTGTGCAATGACAGGTACCCGGATGTATGGTATAGGCAACTGTAAAAGTAGTGTTGATTGGTCCAGGGAGAAAACTATCAACGAATCAGTAACAACTTTAGAAATCAGTTGCAATGATATTACTGTAATAAGAAAGTTCAATATATGAATCGAACTAGGTTATTGGAGACGTTCAAAAACTGAAAAAAATCAACAGAAGACAACTTTAATTAGGACTTCATTTTTTGCTAAAAAGGACCAATCATTAATGTCACTGTTTTGATCTACATGTTCAAGTTTTGCAGCAGGATACTCAACTTTTATTTTTAATTTTTCAATTTTAATGAACTATATTTTTGAGAGGGTTTGTCCCCCTGAACTCCAATATTTTTGAATGATTCTCAAGTTCTGAAGGCAAAGAACCCAGTCTGGCACCACAATCTGATAATTCTGACCATAATTGTTCCTCTTAAGTTAGAAGTAATAGTTACTCTTAGAGGCCAATAGCATAGCATATATATATAACCACGGACTTAGATATAACATATCACTGCTGACAACAGACCGAGGATCAGGTAAATTAGGTCAACCAATCCGTCGGATCTTGCCCCCACAACCCCTGGCTTTTTGACATTCGATGAGTGAACAGAATAATTAAGCTCGTGAGTTTTACTGGTCTGGGTACTTCAGTTGATGTGCTTTAAGAATGGCAGCGGTTCATGGAGTAAATGAGTTTTTTGAAATAATATAAGATATCAAACGTTTTAGCGCACTGTGAAACTGCAGAAATGGCGCGAAAAGTTTCGCGAGCTTTTATCCCACTCCACGAGTTTGCATACATGAGGAGGGCCCACATTTTGACATGTATGGTATGAATATTTGTTGTAAACATATACAACGTTTTTCATTGGTTATAATCTGGAATATGCATCGCAGTCTTAATGCGTGAGCGTGCGCATTTTGACTAGGGGAGTATCCACTTCTGCATGACGAGGGTTATCCCCTTCTGACTAGGGGTATCCACTTCTGACTAGGGGGTATCCACTTCTGACTTTGGGGTATCCACTTATGATTAGTGTGTATTCACTTCTGACTAGGGAGTATTCAGTCACTTCTGACTAGGGGGTATCCACTTAATTCAGACTAGAGGGTATCCACTTCTGACTTTGGGGTATCCACTTCTGAATATAGGGGTATTCACTTCAAATCAGGGGGTATTCACTTCTGACTATGGGATATCCACTTCTGACTAGGGGGTATCCAGTTCTGACAAGTAGATATTCACTTTTGACTAGGGGTTATCCACTTCTGACGAGGGGGTATCCACTTCTGACTAGGGGGTATCCACTTCTGACTAGGGGGTATCCACTTCTGACAAGGGGGTATCCACTTCTGACTAGGGGGTATTAACCTCTGACTAGGGGGTATTCACTTCTGACTAGTGGGTATCCACTTCTGACTAGGGGGTATTCACTTCTGACATTTTTAACCATCAAAGGGGGACGTATGTATATACTTGTCACCACGAATCATTTCAGCCATAATAGCACGTCATATGAAGCCCTTTATAGAACAATGGTCATTCTCTATGGTCTTCCGCAGCGTATACGTCCAGGCCAAGGAGAACTATAAGGATATTTGCCGCCAAAATTTAGAAGCACGAGACACGTTAAAAAAAGGACAGAATAGAGCAAAGGCGTTATGAGTAGATTTTCAAGACAGTCAGTGTGCAGCGATATTTGGAATTTTCAAAATTAAGAAACTAATTAAATGAATTCGATTTTATAAAGTGTGAATGTACATTTTATGATTCTGGAAATATTGCTAGTTGGATATAATAAGTTTTCATTTTTTCTCTTAAAGAGATATTACCCTTGGGAAAAGTTGAAATAATGGATTAGACAATCCAGGGCCTGTATTCATGAACCGTTCTCATGTTTAAAAGCATGTTTTTTGTGTGCTCAATTAATAAAAAAAAAAGTTATTTCTTCAAATATTTGGAAAAGAAATTGAAGACTTAAAGCCGAATACTGTTTTCAATGTTTACGTTTTACTTTTTGATTATTTTACCTAATTTAAGTGAGTTACGAGAAAGTTGGATTGAGCACAGAGTCTATGCCGAGCATGAGAACGTTTTCATGAATACGGGCCCAGGTCTAACAGTGCAGTACCTTAATTCCAAAAATGGGTTATGTGTGTGTGTTTGTTTTTCCTATAATATTGTGTATTTTATTTTTGTGTTAAAAATTTGTTTATTGAATGTTTGTAAAGTAATAGTGAATATATTCACTGTATAAGGCTGATTCGTGTAATGTATTTGCTGCATTAGTGATTTATTAATTCATAAAGTTAATGTAAAGCAATCAAGTGCCAGTTTGTAAGTGAAGATGGGTCTTTTGAATCGTATATCATGTACATGTGATATCAGTAATATGTTTTGTGTATTGTGCTTTCAAGTGTTGTTTGAATATAGGAGATCGAGTGACGTGTGTACATACATCACAGTGGAAGAGGAAAGCAAGAGGCGACACAGATCAATGCGTCGAGAAGAATTATATTGATAGAATATTGATAGATCGATAAAGATATATCTGACGTTGGGTAACATGTTCCACTATCTTTAGAATCCTGCAATCTGGAAATGCTTTTTATTATCATTGAACATGTTATGCATGGAATATTTTAGTTTGCATTTCAGATATTTTATTATTCCGGTAAATACAAAAGTAATCGGACAACAACAGACAAAGCTCGTGGACGCTCTCTCGTTAAATCACGATAATATACCTCATAAGATATATTACGGTACATATCTGGATATTACCATATATACTGGAGACGTATATCAGAGACGATATACCGGAGACGTATATCAGAGACGTATATCGGAGACGATATACCGGAGACGTATATCAGAGACGTATATCGGAGACGATATACCGGAGACGTGTATATTACAATCTGGCTTTATACGTCTCTGAATGTACTTTTGACTGAATCAAATGTCAAGACGTGGTTTTTAGTCAATAACCGAAGTGTATACTTTATATGCAAGATGGTCCATATCGTTGAGGTACAGTACTCCCCGGTTACTAAGGTAAACTAACGGTAGACCGTAACCGCAGTCTCGTGCTAAGGTAGTCCCAGACTCCAAAGCCTTGCATGGGGTTTTCATTACGCGATCCCTCTACAGTCGGCTATGAACTTTGGCAAAAAATGAACAAAATGTCATGATTATAATGGGACATGACCTACGATTTTTTGTACTTATAAACTCTATCTTCTCATTAAAAGACAGAGCAGCACGTTTGTTGAATTTACATTAGAGATATAGGACATATAGTATTGTTTGATTGATAAGTTTTACGTTTGCTTCACTACCGAGTAGATCGGTTATCCAGCAGACGAAGAAAGAGACGGGAAAATGAGTAGAAGGGATAAAGTATGGAGTGAAGGGATAGAAAAGGGAGACAGCCATATAGAGGGTAGAGAAGGACCGTCTATCCTATATGTATTTACTGTATAAGTCTAGTTTTTGTAAGACGGCTCCAATGTTTAATATTTACCTTAGGACCTAGTATATGTTCGAGGCCTATATATTATTTTGCGCCTTTAGTGGTTTAGTTTGGTATCGAAAATGAACAAAGGGCTATAACTCTATAAACTAGACCGGTTTTCAGCGACAGCATGGAGCTAGATTTGATTTTTTTGACGGTTTACCGCCTTTCGGCCTTTCAACAGACACAGAATAAGATTATAATTTATAAAGTGACAGTCACTTTATCAATAAAATCTGGAAAGCGATGACAAAGGACATAACGGACGGACGGACAACCCACCCCTTTCACGTTTTATCGCATCCAAGCAGTACCATATGTATATCTAGGTATCGGTTTATCTCAGCCTTTCAAAATTGAATTCTTAAGTAATTAACTTTTTTTATATATCTTTATATCCGTTGTCGACGTCATACAATTAGTCTTCGACTACTATTGACGCTTCTACTAATTCTACTGGTACGGACTCCCGGTTTGCATCTCCCGCTCTGTAGCATGCGGGGCTGAATTTTCCTGGGTGGTGTTTCCACGCACGGTTCAGTCTTGATTTGAAACAGTTTAATGATGGAGCGTTTATTACGGTGGAGTCTAGATTGTTCCACGGTTCGGTCACTCGGTTGGAGAATGCATTTCCTCTTAGTTTGGTCCTAAATCTTTTCTTGAAAAGTTTTTTGTTATGTCCTCTGGTGTTGTGTACATTCTGTCCGTCCGCGAAAGTTGTGAATTTATCCACGTTGGCATCTACAAGTCCATTGCATATTTTAAAAAGGTTTACCATGTCTGCTCTTTCACGTCTGTACTCTAAGGAAGGTATTCCTAAAACTCGCAGACGCTCCTCATAGTTTAGATGTTTGAGATGTGGCAACAACCTGGTGGCACGACGTTGGACATTTTCTAGAGTCTTCCGGTCCTTTTTATACATTGGAAACCAGACTGATGTGCAGTACTCCAAGTGAGGTCTTACTAGAGACTTGTATAGATTAGCGAACATTGCCTCGTCCATGTAGGTAAAAGATTTGAATATTAATCCCACCATTCTGTTGGCCTTCTTCGCTTGCGTGTTGACATGACCGGGAAACAAGTTAATATCGAAATCAATCCCCAAGTCCTTTTCATGCTCCACCTTTTTAATTACTGTTGTGTTGATGTTTCCCGTTAAGGTATAACTTTGGTCAGATACAGATTGCCCAAGCTTGATGTTCATATATTTGCACTTTTCTAAATTCAGTTTCATTTGCCAAGTCTCAGTCCAGTGGCTTATGTTATTGAGATCATCCTGCATGGAGTCAATGCACTCGGGCGATGTTATATCACCGAAAATTTTGGCGTCGTCCGCAAATAATTTAGCTGTATTGTTTGTCACATCTGGTAGGTCGTTGACGTATATTAAAAACAATATCGGACCCAGAACGCTACCCTGTGGCACTCCACTCGTGACCAAAATTGATTCAGATGCCTTGCCATTGATCACTACTCGCTGTTC